TTGCCATATGTATTCATACAGCATCCAAAACGAAATTTGACTCCCTATAGGAGAAAAGGCTTCAGCTACCGCCTAAGGCGGCTGTAAATGGGTTCACCTGACAAGTCTTGTGCACGAACCTGCGCCTCTTAAGTTCCGGGAGCGGCACCATGCTGAGCAACTCAGCTCTCTCGCGGCTGATCTTCCACAGGGCCCTGGCCTCTGAAGCAGAGTATCCCTCCTCTTTCTTTTCCTCCCGAAACAGCTTGGATCGTTCCAGAAAGTTCTGGGGGATGTATTCACCATAGATGTGGTGAGAATTCGTTCCAGCATCCTTGGGCTTGCTCCCTTTGGTAGCCTTCTTGGGCTCATCTGGCTTCGACGTGGGCTTGACGGTTCGGGATGGAAGCATTAATACCTTCTTCTTCTTCAGGTTGAACTTAAACCCTGTCTTGCGGGGCTTGGAGTTCGCAGAAGGCTGAATAGGCTGCGCATCGTGATCACCATCATCTTCACTGTCATCTTCATCGCCATCAGACTTGAAAGCCTTTTTGTACTGTTCACTGATCGGGATGGGTCCAGGTGCCGAGGATGTTGAAGTCAAGCTGTCCAGAACCTGGGACCCAAATATTTCACACCCATAAAGATGAAATAATGAACAACACAATAAACATCCAGGGCTAAAGCAATCAAGCAGCGTAGCTCGGAACAGTCTTTGCAGTATTTGGGCTTGGGGATTTTTTGAACCTATAGCCCGGGCTCTTGGAAGCTTCGAACAGCCGAATATCCGAAAGCTGTGCACAAAGCCGGCTGATCATGGAATCCTTGCTGGAGAGGCTGGTGGTCGAGATCGCCGATGAGCAGGACGAAACCGTTGACGATCCATTGGTATCGTCCTCGGAAGAGGAACCATCGTGCTCGGCCTGGTTTGGCCCATCCTGGGAACAGAGGTGTTTCGGGATCGTCTGGTATCTGCAAAGTCTATATCGGAATTCCTAAGTTTCGGAAACGAGCTATCTATTCTTCGTGGGTTGAATTTAACTAGTCCAAAAGTTGTTATTGCTTTGAAGTCGAATGCATACGGTGATAATTTCAGTATAGAGAAGGGTTTATCGGAGTTCGGCCGAGATCGTGGATGTCCAACTATTTGGTTAGTTGCAGGAGAACAAAGTCCATCATTAATTTCGATCACCTAATTATATGAGACGTGTTCCTAGCATGTACGTGTACTCCCAAATCCGACATATCAAATGAAACCGAAGGCCCCTGCCGGGTCCACAATATACCGGTAAGTTTGGAAGCAATCTGAAGCTGATTTAAATTTCGGGGATGAGGGTCAAACCGTCAACAACCTAAGGCCGAGAGTCCAATCCTTCGATGTTCAAATCAGAGACCCGGGAACGTATCTCATTCAACTTCTTCATCTTGCTCTGAGTTGCTCGCTTCATCAAGCGGCGCATGCGGCTAACCTGGGCCGACTAATATCTATGGGGTCGATCTCATTTTAGGCATATGTATATATGCTGAGCATCTAATTCAATCGAGTGGCCAGGCGCTTAATTGCATCTCCCATAAGCAAACCCCAATCCTGAATACACTCCATTGCCGACGACATTCCCCGAGGCCATAGGCGATCAGTGTCATAGAAGCTGAGGATGGCTGCTCTGATGATGTATGCACTTGCTCGTCGTGATCTGAAAACCGACATCGTCGCATAGATAACCTCGGGTTTTCGGAGCTTGATGAAAACACCCTACAAACGACATGAATACATTTTAGGCCAGGGATCATCACCGTTCCGTGACACGTCTTTCAACGTACACTTCTTCCCTTTGAACAGCTTCCCGGAATGGTCGATAACGAAGTTGAAGCCTGCCTTGGCTTTCCTAAATTAACCATGCATCGGAACAGTTAAACATGCCCCCGACTTTAATCTGGGTTGCGTCGCAAAGGCTCTGCTGCTTTCTGTAAGCAGCTGCCAACTCTTGGACAAGGCGGGGTTCGATGAAAGTCGGCATGGCTACCGGGATATCAAGGCTTTGACAGTTCAAACCACAGACACGTGTCCTAACTATCGCAAACTTAGGTAATATACTGGGTACGTTGGGCCTAGTTTGCGTAGGATCATGTAACCGGTCACAGCTGAAGACAGGCTGCACAATGCACTGCACAATGCGCAATGCAGGCCAAAGCCCTATAAATTTAATGCATCAAACCCCGCGAATCCCTAAACCCTAAGTCCTTCCAGGCACAATCTAAATCCCTGCGAAGTCTATCTTATAAGAAACCCTACGTGCCGAAGCTTAAAGCCACAACAGTAGTTCAGCTCAGAGCTGTGGGCGGGGGCTGACCTCCAAAGCGAAGAGATTTATCTCGCTGGACATCACGTAGAGCCTGGCGTGCAATGAGTACGTGAAAACCCTTATCATCTCATAGCAGGACCGAATTTAGCATTAATCAGCGCTTCAAGCTCAAGTCAGACACTATGAGCAACAAACCCAGGGGGCGGCGCACCATCGTGTAGGAGGCATCTGGAGTCGAACGCCACAGCACCTGCTATCAAAGTTGTCGAAACACCAGCTGGGCTTTGTAATTTTAACTGGAGCTACAGGTATAAATATACGAAGCGATATGGTGCATCGTACTATTGAAACACTCTGCTCTGAGCGTAGGTGGGTATTCGCAGAGCTGAGCCCCTATATAGGCCAGATTGCTAGATCTTTCAAAAAAGATCTCAAGTGCAGATGCTGAGTCTTCTAACTCGGCAACATATTCCCCCATCCCAACCTTCAGATCTAGTTCATATGAATAAGCTCAATATCGCTAAGGCTTTTCGTCTAGTTCATTACTATATAGCCAGGTTTTACTTCCTGAGCCCCGAATTTGCTAAGCCCGGGCCCAAGCCGTAGTCAAAGGTCGCAGAAACACAAACCGCCCGAAACTCCTGTAATTAGTCTCTTGGAACCCATTCCCAGAAGCACCTGACCGCAGGATCCAGCATCGCGATGCCCATGCGACGACGACCTCGCCTTTCCCTAACTGCCCTAATTACCCATATAATATGTACTGTGCTATTTGCCGTTGGTGTGGGTGGCTACGATATGTATGTATGAAGACACATTACCAAGGACCGCTGTGCACAACTGCACAGAATTGTGTGCGAGCACTTTCGTACAGAGACTGTCCATGTCATGTACATATGTATACAGTTGTATACACTTTATACATGCACGGTCCGTATATTGTATGTATCTATGTATATGTATATATAGATATATGTGTATACACTCTCCATATCTCCGGGTATATATATAAATATATATATATATACACACACATGCTTAATTGATTTTACATTTCGTGTGCCTGTGTGTATATTATATGTATATATATATATATGTGTGAAACCGGCCATACCGTCTACGCACGAAGTATGTGCTTGCGTATGTGTCTATGTATTTATACATACATATATATATATATATATATATACATACATACATATATGTGTATATATATATACGTATGTATACGGCTGCATGTGTATATAGTATAATATAAGTGTCATTGCATGAAAATGGTTACATATAATGGGTCTGGGTATGTTTGGGTGAATATAATATGTCCGAAGGCACACAAGCACAGAGCTTCTGTTTTGTACTTGATTGTATTATACAAATTATGGGCTTACATATATATATATATATATATATATATGTATACACAGATATGTATATATATATATATACAGATACATATGTTTATATGCATCTACTATCTATACGCATATATTTGGGTCTATATGCTTGAGATCTAACCTTTCATCTGTTTTTTTTTGCGCTTCCTATGTCTTCTGAGCCGCAGAACTCGGCTTCCGTGTGTGCTTTCCTGGCCGAAGGATTTAAGTGCAAGACTCGCTGCAAGACGTGTTTTATGGGGAAGGTTCGGGGTTTAGGGGCCTGCAGTTAAGCACCCGAAGAGCCTGAACAGACTCAGGAGTACTATACTGAATTAACTTAGGAATTCTGGGATAGGGTGTACGTACACCAGTACCGTCTGGGCTTGAGGTTTCACGAAATCCAGACAGTTTTCGGGAAGTGCAAGTCGGCGTAGGATGGGTTGGTCGATCCTAGATATAAGAAGTTTTTACATACCGGAACCTTCTAAACCTGATTTTTCACAAGACTTTCCCTCCACAGAGGGTTTTGAGCCAGGTCGAGCCAAATACTGTAACAATATTCTGAGCCATAAGAGACTGGGCTATGAACGGTATATAGCCATTTGAGCCGAAACTACAACAACTGTACACGTTTCATCGAATTATTCGAGTCTATACAACATTGGATTCCGCGTGAATTTCACAACCCCCCCTGTGAATTTCACACCCCCTCCGTGAAATGCGATTTTGGCCATTTCACACACATATGCCCTTTTCACGCTCATATGCCTTTAAGATCAATGATCACCTAAAGTGCGGTCAAACAGGGCTCCAGGTTTGGGAGAGTATATGATTGTTAGATACGTGGACCCTTGGGAAACCAAAAGCCCTCAACCCGACGCCATGCTAAGTCCCATGCAGCTCCAAGTGCCCTTATAAGCACCGTACATAGCCCTTATAGATCCTTGCTAAGTCCCACGAACCTTCAAGTAGACCCTACAAGCCAGAACCCCTAAACCCCTAAACTCCGAAACCCTAACCCCCAAACCTTCCAGCCCTAAACCCTTAACCCATAAGCCCTGAAACCTCAGCCCCTAAACCCTAAACCCCTTATAGATCCCTTTAAAGGAACTCTTATAGAACCCTTATGGATCCCTTTAATGGCATTCTGGATCCCTTCAAAGGAGCTCTTACAGAACCCTTACGCATCCCTTTAACGGCCAGAACCCTAAACTAGGATACCCAGCAGTATCCTTATTCCCTTTTTGTAGTCCTAGGCTCCTTATAAAAGTACCCAATATACCAAAAAGGGGATCCCTTTTTGATTCCTAGGTTACTGGGCTCCTAGAGGCCATAAGCCCAGGTTCAGTCTTATGGACTTCGATCGTGGCGTCAGCTCAGCCGGATCCCCGGGGCAGCTGAGCCCTAAGGGTCCAACGGTTGATGATAAAAATCCTGCATTACCTTAAGGACCCTAAGCTATGGGAATGGCATATTCCTTATATCACCAACCGAAGTACCCAAATAGTAGGGTTTCAGAGTCCGAAAACCATTCAGAAGTATGGATTTCAAGGACTTAAGATACTACTATTTGGGTACTTGGACCCTCTGGGAACCTGTTTAAGAACTGTTACAAAGAACACAGAATATGGAGCCCTGGAAGATGCTGGGTTTTATAGGATCCAGGTGCGACATGAAAGTTTCAGGTTTAGGGTCTTCCCAAAGGCCCCAAAGTAGTTCCTTTTTGGGGTTCGTATATAGAATCCTATAGGGTAATCCCCAAAAGGAACTACATTGGGGCCTTTGGGTAGGTTCAGGGTTTGAGGCTTAGGGTTTGGGGTTTGACGTTCAGGGGTTAGGTTTAGGGTTTTCAAGGGTTGGGGGCTTAAAAGTTTAAGGTTCGCGCTTCAGGGTTTGCTGTTTTGGGTGTTCTCTAGTGTATCTGTATATTTGTGTAGCTACGTAGACGTATTTACATATGCACTTGCATAGAAATACAAACATATACGCAAGATATGCATCTATATGCATATATTTATTTTGCTGTCTATGCATGTATACCTGTATACATATGTACTTTATGTATACATAGATGCAGGTAGACATGTTTACATATATACCTGTAAACAATTATAACTGTGCATGCATATGTCCATGTATGCTTGTATACATGTAAACATATATGCATATAAACATATAGACATATAATACTCAGATACATAGGCACATAGGTACATAGATACATAAATACATAGATGCATACATACATGACAGATATATGTAGATATACATATAAGCACCAATATTTACATGTACATATACACATATCTGTACATGCACGTTATTTGTCAAGGTACCCTCAGGTATAATCTTGGCGTGTAGGGCCGTCGGGCGTTATTGAGGTTTGAAGTGTTCCAAGAAGTGGAACCCTTGAAGGGCACACCTTACACCCTTGTGATTCAGAGTAGGGTTTAGGCTTTTAAGGCTTGGGAATGAGTTTAGGGCTTTGGGGTTTAGAGCTTCGGATTTGATGGTCAAACATTCTTGGCTTTCGATCCTGTACCGGGTCTTGGGACTTGGGGATTCTACTATTTGCTTAAGAACCCCCCAAAAAAGTAAAAAATAGTAATCCCTATATTAGCCCTATAAGGAATATTTTTTTATTTTTTGGTGGTTCTTAAGCAAATAGTAGGATTCTCCTCACAGCGTGTGCGGCAAAGGATTTTGGACTTTGCAGGTCGGTGACATTCAGTGTTTTTTTGATTCCGAGCTTGAGGTGAAGGGTTTCGGATCTGTTTGGGGCTTTAGGGTTTGAGAACTTTGACTTTTTCGTCGCAAGCGTTTAGAGTCACAACAAGCAAGGTGCATCAAACAGAGAGCATCTACCCGTTACATGGGGGCTTTTCCCATCCGTCAACGTGCACTCATTACTCACGCACCACCCCCAACAGGTGTCCTCGTAATTCGTGTGGATAAACTCGTTCTTCGCGTTCCTTTTGGATCTGTTGAGGGTTCTAGGTGTTCGGGTTGAGTAAATATCGTTAAGAATGACGCGCAGTTAATGTAACGCTTCTATTCTGCTGCTGGCATTCTTGCAGCATGCAAGATTCACATTGTCAGGACCCGACACCCGAAACCATCCTAAACCACAAACCCCTAAACGACTAAACTCTAACCCTAAACCCTAAACCCTAAACCCTAAACCCTAAACCCTAAACCCTAAACCCTAAACCCTAACACACACAAGCCACGATTGCAGACTGCAGAAACCTGTCCAGGCGGACTTGGTCTACTACCCGCAGGCCGTCTTTTTGTGTGTTGGGGTTTGGGGCTTAGGGCTAGGGGTTTACCCTAGGCCCTAAACCTTTTAGGGTATGGTAAGGGGTTAGGGTAATGGGTTTAGGGCTTAGTTTGGGTTTTCTGGGCTGTGCTTTCGGTTTTAGTTTCTAGCACCTCAATGTTTTGGATTGGGTGGAGTTAACCATGTACTTACAAAGTGTGCCATATGTCCATATGTATGATATCGGGTAGGGTTTAGGGTGCAGGGATTGCCTTTCATCCGAAACAACCAAACTCTGCACCGTGGAAGAAATGAGAAATTGTTTAGTCATCATTATTGGGTTTAGTGTTGACAGGATTCTCCACTTCGACCCTTGCAGTCACCCGTGCAGCTTTGAACCTCTCTCTCTCTCTCCGGCCCCGATGCCTATACGAATCTCTGTGCAAAAACATCGACTGAAGGGGTTTAAGGTGTAAGCTGTGCTTTAACAATGCTGTACGGAACTCACTAAAGGGTGATTGGGCTAGACTGGAGGGTAGTTGAGGCGTCTATGGCCCAAAGGGTACTGAGGACCTTTATGGGGGATACTTACTCAAACCATAATAGTAATTCCTGTCGTTGTTATAGAAACCTTACTTTCTACTATGTAGGTACTTAGAACCCGGAGGGTCCAAGTATCCAAATAGCAGGGCATAGGTCCCAAAATCCATACTCTGAATGGTTTTGGGACCTACGAAAGATGGGGCTGGTCAGACCCACACGTGGGGTGACTGGCCACCGGTCTGTGGTGAGTCTGTGGTGACGAGTTTGGCCGAGACGACGGACGTGTCATTCGGGTCCAAGTATAGATCGGGCAAAAAACGTGAGGACCCAACAAGGGGTTCGAAAGAGAGGAGGCTGGCAGAGCAAGCAATGTGCCGCTCGTTACGAGAAGGCAGGACGCTTGGCAGCCACATCGAATTGACACATAAGTTTTATCCAGGGTCGTAAATAACACATGTACGACAAACTGCGTTGCAATGAGATGAATGAGTTCTGAAAATCGCTATGCTTGCAGTCTAAGAAGGTAACATGTCCATTAATTTTGGAATTGGTGCACGTACTTGTACGGGTTTACCCTTAACCTGCAGACCCTTATGGCAGCCATTTATCGAACCCTATGGTACCCTTTATATATAGAACCCCTTGGGTACGTAGACCTTCCTTCTGCATGGTTCAGAGTCCTAAACCCTCTGCTTGAAGGGTCGAGGGGCTTAGTAAGCAGTTATTGTAGAGACTTACAAGTATCATAACCCCAGTTAGAGTCGCTTTGAAGGTACTTACAAGTCTACTTATTACCAACAGTCACAGCGCCGGTTGAGAACCTGGTGAACTTTCGTGAGAGGGGGCTCGATTTCTCATTTTTGAAGCCCACTTTTTTAAGGAAAACACGTTTCGGGACTTGAGGGTACCCTGGATTTCTTACCCCAAATTTCTTCATTTGCACTCTTGTAGGAAAAAAGTAACAGTTGGAATCGCACATATAGTAAAAGTAATGTTCATAGCAACACGAAGCAGGATGATTGTGAGTAGTATTAGTAGTGGTAGTATCAGTACGAATTTTGGTGTCGTCATTCCGAAACACTGGATACCAAGACTCTCGCAAGCGGCGGGATGCCTGAAGTATGGGCCGTTGAGGCTGTGGATTTCGTGGGCGTCTTGGATTAGGGAAGCATCACAGCCTTTTCAACCACGTTACTCCGCCTGTCCCAACGAAAGGGCGTCTAAAACAAGCCTGAGACGCAAAGCCATCCCTAAACCCTAAACTCCCTTGGTACTGCAGCCTTACAGGCGAGCCCCAATTTTTCAGGCTGGGGTTAGGGTGTAGGGTTAGGAATTCAGGTTTGAAACTCGCTTGGTAGTGCAGCCTTAAAGGCGAGCCCCAACACATAAAGATGCTACATGGCAGTCCCGTGTCGTCGAAAACTCCAGAAAGCTCGCACCTGTCAGCGAGCGGAGGAGGGGCGGGAGGGAAGGGGGAGGGGGGGGTGGGGAGGGGGGGAGGGGACTGCCCACAGAAGCCAAAATCCGTTGAAGGGGGGGAATTCACCGCCGTACCTTGGAGCTCAGTGACACGTTTCCATTTTTAAGGGGGGGGGGGGGCAGTGGCACCGATTTTTGGTGGGGGGTCACTGGGGGGGGGATTAAGAGGTGGGGAATAGAGGGAATCCGAATAGGAACCTCTGACCGCTTCGGCCGGGGCCGAAGCGAATTAAGCTTTGCCACATAAGGAAAAACACCAACATGAGAAATTGAGGGGCTCGATTTCTTCAACTTACGAAACTGAGGGGCTCGATTTCTTATTTTGGGGGGTTCTGGTAAGGGCTGCTTACAAGCTGTGTAAAAAGGATCGATATAGTGGCATTTCAGGACTCCGGCGGCTGCCGCGCCCGAGTGGATAAGCGCATGGGTTTGAGTGGAAAGCGCTGGTGTCTCGAATCCTCCCGTGCTTTCATTTCTTGGTTTGCTTTGTAAGGGTTTGGAACCGAGTTTTTGGAAACTGCCTTAGTTTCTTGTTTTTTTGTGCGAACAACACCAGCGAAGACAAAATGAGAAAGAGCAAAATAAGAAATTGGCACGCCGGGTTCAGGGTACCCTGGATTTCTTATTTTGGATGTGCGCAATATATAGATATATATATATATGTATATGTATACATGTTTTGTCGCACTGCTGTCCGAGGGGCTCAATTTCTTAAACCAGTGATTTCTTAAGCAGTGCTGTTGCTGTACTTACTAAGTCCACCGACCCTCCAAGTGAGAGTCCTAAACCCTCTCGCGAGGCACCTCAACAAGACATCCGAAACCAGTAAACCCAAAGAGAAACCTTGAAGCTTAAGCCCCAAACCGAAACCCTGAACCCTAAACCCTAAAGCTACGCGTGCACTAGGCGGGTTGGCGCGACATTAGATGCCCGACGAAAAGCTTCAAAGCCTAACCAGAACCCAAAATCGCAGACGTTCTGAACAGACGCTGTCCCTCGACCACCACCTGGCGATAGCCTATGAGAGCTGGACATCGTCGAGGTGCTCTGATTCTGCTGGGGTCTTTAGAGGTCTATAGGCGTTTACGACATAGGGTTGGGTTTTAGCGGTTCAGGGCTCGATTAGGGCGCTGCGGTTTAAAACGTGGGAAGAGATTCGAGCTTTGCATGAAAGGACCATGCAACTCGGACAGTAATTAGGTAGTGCTTGAGATTACAAAGTACCCGGTACCCCGTTCTGTCATTTCCAAAACCATACTTCCTAAGCGATCAACACTGATTGGGTTTCCTGTTCTGCCTAAGCCGTATGAGGCAGTATGAGCCCGGAAGGTTCAAAGTTCCCCATTTAAAGACTTGGGCATAGTGAGTATGGCAAACCTTTCTTTGTAAAACCTTATCCTCCAAGATATAAACAAATTGCAAGCCCCAGTACAAAACCCTAAAGCCGGCCCCTAAACCCAAAGAACGTATTAAGCCATTCTCAAGGGGCCTGGTTTGCACAGCCAGTGGGAATAGCTTTGGGCTCTTTCGTGGGCTCGTTTATTTGGTCTACCCTAAAGCCCTAAACCCGAAGCCCTTAAACCCATAAACCTTAAACAGTACAAAGATTGAGCCTTTTCGGGGGCCTGGCGATGGAAGAAGACACTTTTTAAGGGCTGTTACTCGAGAATGTTGTGGTGCTTTTGAGGTAGTGGCCCACATCTCTCAAAGTAGAGCCCACATCTTGTTACCTTGTACGGATGCTTTCTAGGAAATTACATAAGGGATCTGCATTTTTCTCACGTAAGCCAAGATTACATAATGTGAAAGTTGAAGTTTCTGGCTTATTTGGAGCAGACACCCTGCCTTGAACAGAAGGGAAATGAGCGTAAAGTGCCTCGGGAGCTCCCGGCGCAGAATCTAAAGCCCCAGACGTAGTGCGTTCTAAGCTCACCACGAATAAAGAATGATGTTGAGCATCATGTGTTCCTTATGGCAACCTATGCGTAAATTCTCAACGCATCATCATCTGACAGCTGACAACAACTCTACAATGTCCGTATTGTGGTCATATAAGCCTAAACCCCAAACCCTAAAGGGAACTCCAGAAAGTTGGAATATGGTTTCAGGGTAGGATACCCCATAATTTACCATAAATTTTTAGGATAATCATATTCCAACTTTCTGGCTTTTACTTTAAGCTCCTTGAAGATTCCTGAAAGGATCAAACAAGACCCGTAAAAGCCTCTTGATCCCTGAAACGAAGTCTACTTGGAGGGTCGTGGGACGTAGTAAGTAGTCATTCTATAGACTTGTAAGTTTCATAGCCCCGACAAGGACCCCTTAGGGTATGTGTAAGTCTACGTATTACTTGCCCCAAGTATAGATCCCTTAAAGGAAGCCTAGAGCTAATTTAAATGCCTTAAAGGAATTCTATAGACTCCTTACAGCCTTAAGCACTATAGATCCCCGAAGAGAACCTAACCCAGAGGGTCCAAGTACCCAAATAGTAGGGTTTTAGGTCCCCAAATCCATACTCCCAAAGGTTTTTGGACCTACAAGCCCTACTGTTTGGGTACTTGGACCCGAAGGGTGAACCCTACCCGACAGCCAGAGCCGTAGCCCTACCTTAACCTACTAAAACCTACAAAAAAGTAGGGTCCCTATAAATTCCATAGTATGGTTTATAATAAGAACCTACAAAAAAGTAGGGTTTGGTGGGTTAAGGTAGTCCCAAAACACTGCAAATCTCAAAGCATTCCGCAGGGAGACGATTGGCCCTGTCTCGCATACCGTGGTCTTCGACAGCTGGCCATCGACGCGGGGACCCCAGAGTTGGGTTTAGGGCTTAGGAGTTTAGGGTTTAGGGCTTAGGGCTTAGGGGTTTAGGGTTCGGGGGTTTAGGGCTTAGGAGTTTAGGAGTTTAGGAGTTTAGTGTTTAGGACGGGCCGTTGAAGAAGCGACCTCAGAGTAACGGGGTACGGTTTACGGATTTGGGGTTTAGGGTTTGGGGTTTTGGATGTAGGAAGGGCCGTTGAAGAAGCTTAAGGTTGACGGGTTCGGCGTCAGGGTTCAGGGATGGTTTAGGCTTCCGGTTCAAGCTCGGAACCTGATTAAGAAACCCTGGGCCTATAACCTCAATCTTTTATATAGGATTCATATAAGGACCCCTAAGAAAGGCCGAAGGTCTCTTAATCAGGTTCCTACATTAGGGGATTGGGGCCGGGGTGTGTCCATGTGATCTTCGACAGCTGGCCGTCCACGCATGGATCCCACAGCAAGGGACCCGAGAGGCACTTAAGCACAGGCCTAGGTAGGGCTTTGGGACATTTTATATTTTCCCTTATTGGGCTTAAGAGGATCATATTTACTAATATTTTTCAATGGCTCTAAAAGCCCCACCTAGAGGCAGTTTGCAGGGATATCCTCACCTTATTGGGCTTTGTTGCAAGGGAGTCTATTTGGGATGTCCCTGTCTACTCTACCCAAACCCCGGGAGGATCTAAATCGTATTAAAGCAGATGATCCCCCCAATTCAGGACACTGGCTTCTAACAGGTACGTTCTAGGAACCCCGTTACGGGATCGACTTCTTTGGTGTCTGGGGAGGTTGCAACAAGGCAAGACGGGAAGCTTCAGAAGTTTAGGGTTTATGGATTAGGGTTTAGGTCGATTGGGGTTTGGGGTTTAAACGCCCACAGCTTCCGCCTTCTCCAAATTAATTACCCTTTAGCAGCACAGGGTCTCAAATTCGTGTGTCTACGTTCAGGATCCTTCCCGGTGTCTGGGTTTAAGAGCCTCAACAAGGGTTCTACAACGGTTCCATCAGGGTTGAGAGTATACGGGTTCATGTACCAACATGGTGTATATTTTGGCCTCAAAGTACTCCCGAGAGAGGTACTCTAAAGTACATGCTATGCACATGGACTACCAAGATTTTCGCGTGGGTTTCCACATTTGAGTTATATGTACTATAGTATGCCCCCGAAACCCTTTTCTACCTACTGGTGCTCCGATATTAGGTGTAATTCGGGCTTCAGGATCGAAGGCCTTCAACGCATACGGAAGCCTAAAGCCCTAACAAATCTTTAGGCTCCGGATTCGACATTCAGATTCAGTTCGAGTTGATGTGATTGCTTGGGCTGGTTCTTGCGATGTCGACAGCAGTATGGCCATACCGCAGATCATACCCAGATCCCTGCAAGGATCTAGCAAGTACTACGAGAAAATACATACATTATTGGAACCCGCTTTTAGTAAATCAATTAAGGGATCTTGTAACAGATCTAATTACTTTTCTGGGGTCTGGGTGCCTGGCCTGGGATCGGAAACGTCACCTTGGACCAATTCTGTCATATTCTGAGTAGTTTAAGTACAGTTGGGGCTTGGGGTCGTGGTTCAAACCTCCAGTTAGGACCCCAAAATTCACATAAACACAAGCATTCCCTAAACCCTAAACCCTGCCTTACATCCCTGCCTTATTGGGCTCCATTCTACAGGTGTTATATGGGATATCACTATCCTTACTTTTGCATATGTGCTTTTTGGGTCCCTATTCAGGCTTAGCATGCCTCCAACATAACACAGGGGCCTTAATAATTCGAATAGGGTTACTTTAAGCGGTTCTTAGAACGGGTTCTAAACCGGATCTATAGTAGGGATCTATGACGCAGGAGCCTTAATTAACTAGAATAGGGTTTTGGTGCGTCTTGTACTAGGACTATATAAATTATCTGGATTTGCTTGTCTGTTTGCGTTTGAGCATTGGTTTAGGATGTTTTTAGATTGCGGGTGAGCTACTGTTGCTGTATAGCTTCGTTTGGAGCGATGGTCTTGGACATTTTCTGTTGTTCCCGTACGGTTAAACCTACACCGGTAAAAAAACCCAAAGCACTAAGCCGAGAATCCTCCACGGAAAAAGGCATATTACTGGTAAGTCTGCGAAGCAACGACTGCCTGAGCAGGCCCGTTTTAGGTTTTGAAAAACGATTCCATGAAACGACGAAATGGAAGCATGCTAGTTAGTGGTTGTGTTTGTTGGATTCTCCCTGCTGGTTTAGTTTGGACCAGTTGGGGTCTAGACCAGGGCTTTAGCGGTTGAGGGTCGTTACTTGGAGGGTCGGGGGACTTAGTAAGTAGTTGTTCTAGAGATCCATAAGTATCATAAGCCCAATTCGGGTCCTTTTTAATTGGTACTGATAAGTCTACGCATTACCTACGTACTACGTCTCCCGACCCTCCAAGTAGGGGTTTGGGACTTGCAAGCTGAAGGGTCTTCAAGACGGCGATCTGATCGCTCGGGACACCACGACACGGCACGAGGCAATATGTCATGACACAAAATCTAGTGGCGATTGTCCCAAGCGCTGGCGAAGGGAAGTGAAAGCGCCACTTGCGAGTTTGAGTATCCCTGGGTTCGATCGAGATATCAATCGCGGCTACATATTGAGTGAACCTCTAAACCAACAAGACCCGGAACCCACGCTCACGGTTGAACCCTCAACCTTAAACTGAACAGTAAACTAAACCACAAACTGCTGAACCTAAATCCTAAGCCCTACACACCGAATCCCGGTCCTGGATGCTCGCAAAACATTGAGGCGGTTGAATTTTGCACCGCATGCCACACTTTGCAGTCATTCGGTCTCGGCTGGAGGATAGCTAACATAGAGCGGGACTTTTGGGCCTTGCGTCTTGCAAGAAGGTTGTATGATGTTTGTATTGTTGGCCTCCAAACTTAGCCTAACATTTTCGTTGGTCAAATTCGGTGCTTTCTCTGTCCTTATACATGTGTGTATACATTTCTTTGTCATGCACATGGCATTGCACTGATAACAACTAGGATGTTGCAGACATGGGAGCAACCCAGTTGCGCGTGCCATTCTTGCATATACGGTGCCCGACCAAACTGTTCGGGTGAAACTCGAGTCCGGCCGAATCTCATGGCCGACAAGATGTGGCCGTGTCGCGGGTACTCCTGACTGTACTAGAAATAAGAATCACATTGACATACGTACCAATAACAATAACAGTATGTACTCGTCATAGCAATAGTACTGGCAGTAGTACTGGCAGTAGCATTGGCAGTCGTATGAGCCGTAGTACCAAAAGCAGCAGACTGCCATCATAGTGCCACTCGTTAGTAAGTCATTCGAGCTTAGTTTTCGTCGTGCACCCAGGAAGATGGTTTTGGACAGATGGCCAGGCACTGAGTCAGGATCAAGCGTCAAGAAACCTTCCTGGAGCATGAAAGCAAACTGCAGGGCGCCTTTGGGTTGACGGTATGTGCATCGATATACATGCACGTAGAGAGGAAGCCCCGAATGACATAGTTTCATGTAGACCGAGTTGTTGTTGCAATTTAAAGCATTTCACTACTCGCCTCCCCTCCTCCCCTTCCCTGCGCAGCCAGGCCTGCGCTTTCCTGCCCTCCCTTCCCCTCTCCCCTGATGTTCACAAACTCAACGACAGCCCTTGGCCATTGTCTCAAGGTTTCTATGTGGGTGGTTGTCAAAATTAGGATCCCTTGTTAGGACCTTTTTAGAATACGGCACCTAATATTTAGGGTACCCAAAAAGGGACCACAATTTTGACAACCACCCATGTGTTTTCGTGATTGGATCCTGTATATTGGCCGTACATCCGTGAACGTTCGATCCAAAAAACCTCGTGTGGACTAAGGCGTTGTTGCCGGTGTGTTCGGCGAAGGATCAACCAGGCCAGCACCTGGATCGGGTTTGCGGCTTAGGGCTTACATGCGGTCCGTCGGTTTAGGTTTCGCGGCTTTGGGTCGTCTGTTTGTCTTGCTGTTTGTCTGCTTCTCTTTTTCCCCTCCCACCCCCAATCAACTTTTCTCTGACTGTCTCTCGTTTGGTGTCCGTCCATGCATCTGTCTATGTGTGTGTGTGTGTGTGTGTCTGTCTGTCTGTCTGTCCCTCTCTCTCTGTCTATCTCTCAGCCAGTCAGTCAGCAGTCAGTTTGTCTTTGTCCGACTGTCTCTTTGGATTTCTCTTTGATCTCGCACGATGTGTCGCAGTCCATGAGTGGCATTGCAGCAGTGATCAAAGAAGCTTTTCCGTGTTTGGGTCTCCTGCATGCCAGGGCAACTACGCCAAGATGACCTGCACGGCCTCGGCCTTAGGGGCGCTGCCCAGACCCTTGGGAAGATCCAAAAGTAGATGCCTTAACGCGGTTCCTATAGTTTTTAGTGGTAACTACAGGTTACCAGATCAGGGGTTCTACTTTCTGGATCCTTTCAGGGGTTTTGGGTGTTAGGGGTGGGAGCGAGCACGGAACCCCAAGCCTTAAGCTCAGCTAGAACCTAGGATCAAAAAAAGCAGGTCGCCTCCGATGGTTTAAAGCAAGTACGATGAGGCATATTGACACGCTGCGGAACCGAAGCAGCTTCTTGAGGTCGTTCAGTGCGACCATGTGAGTATCCCGACTCGCGGTGGCAGGGCAGCATAGTGTCATTAACAATAAGGGCATCGCGAGCTGTAAATGCCGCAGAAAACGGTACTGTACTACTTAAAGGATCATGGTAATTACTTAGAAACTTGGGCTATAGTCTAGGTAACTATACGTAGATTTTCTTATAACCCCAATTAACGTACTTATAACCCTACTTACTAAGTCCCATGATCCTCCAAGTAGTTAATTAGTCAACCACCCCGCAACAGGGTCGACAGCAAAAACCGTCTCACTAAACTCAAGCATCAGATCAGGAAAGAAACATATCAGTAGTTTCAGTAGATAGTACTAATGCTAGCTAGCATTTAGACTAGTAGCTTCTGGAGTCATCCCA